TTTATGAATGTAAAAGTTACACATTCATACCGATCAAAAACTTTTTCAAATTGTTGCTATAAAGTAAGCAGACTTTACAGTACCGACCGAGAAAAACTTCTGCAACGTTTACGGAGAATTGTTATAACTTTTGATTGGATCGACAATGGTACCTAGCTATTTTTCAAATATAGACATATTAATCTTCAAAGTTTTTGACTTATTATTCCAAATTTGTATGGCAATTGTTCTTCTTAAGACTTTTCACCTAATATATTTCATACAATATTGTAGATACTTAATAAAAATTACATTTTCACGTTTATGTATTGTGTCCTTCAATAGTCGCATAACAATATCTATTTATTCAAAATTCTTATTTATATATTTAACAAAAGGTCTCAAATTGTCTAACTAGTAAAAATTGTACATAATACGTAATAGAATTTTTGAATATAATGTTTACGTAAGCGATAATAAACATCAATTTACATACTCACGTTACAGTATATATAATGCAAAAAAGAGAGGATCTTCCAGAGTTAATCTGCAGCTGTCTCATATGGTCTAGGGAATTTAAAAATTTCAGTGACCCAACAGTCTTTTCGACACAACATCCAATCTTTTCTCCCCTCCTTAAGTAGGTACTTCACGGATGTGTATTAGCATGATGTCAAATGGTGAAAAACTCGCATTGGAGTATTTTTAAAAGCGGAAGTATTGCCTACCTGACTTTCACTGTATCGACATCATACGTTCATTATGATTTAGTGTATTTTCAACTTTTCACTATTTATTCTGTATTCCATCACGTACAAATATTTGAAAATATATACTGTCTAATAAACAATAAAGAAAAAAAAATATTAATATATAGTGATTAAAAAAGAAATAAGAAGACTTATATGATTAAACTAGAAATGCTTATTTTTATGAAATAAGTTATGAGATGAAATTTTAACAGTACTATTTGTTTTCCAATTGAACTATTTTAACATTGTAGGCCTATTTAAACGGGTGTGCACAATGTATATTAATTTATAACGCTTTTATTTTTATGTATAAAAACTAGAATACAGAAGCATGTGCGTAAATTATTCATTCATGGGAATTTAATAACGCTAATAATGTAACTAATATTTATTATTACGTATAAAACATAATTTTAAATACATCGATATCGTAAATTTATTAATTTTTTCATAAATTTTCATTTTTATTATGCTAATAATGATCTCAATAGCATTGTGAATTTGTTTCATGCAATGATGTTTTTAATTTTCGCGATATTCAACATGAAAGGAAATGGGAAAAGTCAAAGCACCATATATTAAATTAGCATATGCAAATTGCAAACGAATTGCGCAAGTTTTGACGCTAAAATATAAAGTTATTTCTTGTTATAGATCTATTGTTAATATCGAATTTACCTCGTACTGTATTATTCTATATTAAGACAGTCGATCGCAAAGAAAAATTAGATTTTTGTTCAAACAAGTTATGAATGAAATGTTTTTAAATTCACGTATATTTGAAATAATATCATATTTAGGCAAATATATCTGTATTTGTTATATCTATCAACACTCATGAAATATAATTATTTGTATTATTCAGTCAATGAAGAAATTAGGAAAAAATCTGATATGCATTTTATGCATAACATATCAATACAATGGTGCGATTCAATTACCATTTATTTATTAGAAAAAAAGTCGATTGATAATCAATTCTTAATTAAAATAGTAAATCTGTTCATTATTAAATAATTTTATATGTTAATAAAAATAATTGAAAATTATCCAACGCTTTTTAACGCATTGCGGTTAAAGCACACTCCAAGAACAAAATGAGAATGTCGAGAATTACGACAAAAGTTATTGACTCTATTAAGATATCTGTGATGGATAATTCATGTCACTTAACTGAAAAATTTATCGAATACTTCAAGAGGACACGGCAAAATACAAAAAAAAACAGTAAACCCTGAAAATTCTTTTTTTCGGTATTTTTTCCTTTTTTTCTGTTTCATGCGCTCGGTTTTTCTAGCAACATTATACTTGCAAAAGTTTTGCATAATACTCTAAGATAAATTCTGTTAAATTTTTTAAGCTAAAAAAATTATATTATAAAATGCATTTAATTAAAGATATAGAAAATATATTTTTCTTTAAATAAGTTTTATAATAGATATCATTATACTTTTTAGAAGAAAAAATCTTAATTTTAGAGCAAAGTCTTTAAATTAAATTATGAATGTACTAATAAAGAAATTGTTTCCTTTTATTATATCGATGATTTTAATCTATATATGATTCTGTGTAACAATTCTGATTATTGATCTTTTTGTATGGAAGAAATTAAAGAAAATACATATTATAAATTCTCTTGTGACTGTAAAAATAAATGAAAATATCAATGAAACAAAAGAAGTAGAGGAATTATGTGAAAAAAGTAGGTCCAGACTTTATCAAATATCCTTAAACTAATTAAGACACGTACATTAAGATGGCCGGATCATTTACTTCAAATAAAGAACAAAAAGCGTAGCATTTATGATTTTAGTAGCAAAACCGGTAAGCTAGAGATAGAGAGAGAGAGAGAGAGAGAGAGAGAGAGAGAGAGAAAGAGAGGCTTTTGAATCGACTAAGCTAAATATGAAAAGATAACAGTAAACTGTATATTAGATAAGAAGAGTATAATAAAAGTGTCTTGGGTACATTTTGTGGAAATTGAGGAAATTGAAGAATTCATAACTCTCAAGAATATAACACAAACTAATAATATGATTTGTACAAATTTATGATTGGATTAAATAAAATAGGAATTTATTCTTGATCATTTAAAATTATTCCCTTTAGGTAAAACATGGCTTATTTTAGCTTAATTAATTGCCATTTTAATTTTATATTATGAAAAATACAATCATGAAATAGTTATTTCATTGTGTTATATTTACAAATCCAGTTTATCCTTAAAAATGCCAATTAAGTTGTAGTTAATTTGTAGTAATTCAATAACTTAGTACGCATAAACGCATTAAAAGCGACGAGGCTTTAATTTTCCATAAGAATTAAAGGATTTTAATTATTAAACTGGGAATTTAACATTTTTTTCTCCCACATGGATAATAATTAAGTCACATTCGGATGAATTTTTTACAAATAAACTCGTCTATTTCTTTATTTCCAGCTAATTTTACTATAAATTCTGAAATATGCCAAGATTTCATGTATGAATGATGAAACTAAAAATTTAATTCTAAAATATTCGTTTAAAATATTAAAAGATTTTATGTTCCTTTAATATCATAAAATATCAAGTCCACTTTAATAAGCATGAAATATTGATTGTAGTTGTTTATAAAATCAAATTTCTCCCATACGTATGCATGCAATTTATTATAAAACTGTAATTACACTTCATGTGCATAAAGAGAGCCAATTCCGCGACGCATAAATAGGGGCGCCTGATTTTATTTCTTAAATTATCAATTATCATTCTCTCGTGGTATTACGTTTTCGCTTCCCAGGAACGGCCCGTAACCCAGAACTCGGAACGCCCAACGTTGGCTGAGTATTCCAACAGGTACGATAAGAATTTCTAAGCCAATATTAGACACTCGATCGACCATTCAACAACGCACAATAATATGTAGCTCTTCCATCAAGTTGGATTATATTACGGCACAATAATATCTTTCATCAGAAGAAATGGTAACCCTAAGTACCCGAAGTTCTCGCGGTCAATTAATTCCAAAGCCGTTCGAGAGCTTTGACAGTTCAGATTGAGAAGCTCTCGAGGCTTTTGTTCGTCGGTGACAAGGGATGCGATCGAGGAGCAGTGCCATGCTCTCCTAGATTTTCAGATGCTCCCCCCCCCCAACTCACCCACTTCGCCACCCCCCAGCAAGGTTATTTAATCGAGCTACGACCGCTTCATCGGGGCGACATTAAGTTTGCTTGTGGCGGCGGGCCTCGCGTATCACTCGCGTCTAACTCCAGTGAATAAAGTCCTTTGTGTGTTGATCCTTGAAATTCATTGTCCTATAAAGTAAAAATCATAAAAGATCGATTGAGTCTCTATGGGAACTTGGGTTTTAGCATTAAGCGTGTCCATGGATTTCGAAGCTTTGTGCATCGACTTTTGATTATATCATTCGTTAGATTAAGCCATGGAGGTTTAAGGATATGTTTGAATGATGTAATGCAGAATTTTCATTTAATAATTTATTTGGAATTATAACATAACATTTTACAACAGTTTAATATCTTTTATATTTTTTGTAAAATCCATTATATCAAAAATTCATGCCTCATTTCACCAACGAGTTCGGCAACTCATTGAATTCACGCCTCATCTCGCATTCATAAAGATAACTTTTATGATATTAGCTGTACATAAATAATTTCTGCTTTAAAGAGTAAATTTCATACATTATCATTGATAAAATTAAATGTCAATATATATTTGAAAAATTTGTTGTCATATAAATTTTCTAATCATCTAATCCTTATTCTCTCTCTCTCTCTCTCTCTTTCTCTCTTTCTACAGAATATTCACGATAAAATCTGCGTAATTTTTCATTTTCAAAAACACTTTCACTGTGTAATATTTTGATTGTCAACGTTTGAAATCTCTCGAATCGGTTCACTCCACTGGCAAATACGTAAGGCAAATACATTTGAACGTCTAGAGTCACTCGCGGAATGCGTAACATTTGTCGACGCTCAAAGTCCATCCCTCGAGCATTCTCTCTCTCTCTCTTTCTCTTTCTCCACCTCTTCCTTTCACGCCCCTCATGAGATCTCCTTGCAATCCTCAAGTAGTTTCTCTTAGAATAGACTCAGTCGAGTGCGGAAAAAGGGCAATAAGCCTACATTCTTCGAATGAGTCCGCGAAGCTTCGTTCCGGTCGCGTTTGCGCGCCGCGGCGTCAATTCGGGGCATGCGCCACTCGATCGCTCGGGGGTTACGAAATATTCACTCCCCGGCACAGAGCTTTAGTCGCTCCAGGACGCTTCTGGCGTCCGCTCTCGTACGAACGCGAGATCCGCGAGGCTCGGCGAATACGTCTAGTCGGGATTTCAGGTCGGCGCATGGAATTGCGGCTTTATTGGCGATCGGGTGTTTTTCATTCGGCTGATCGAGTGAGGATTTTTAATCGAGGGGATTCACTGAGTACGCAAGTTTTGCGGTGCCGAGATCAATCCTTTATATATTTATTATGGATTTTAGAAGCTTTGCGCGTAAGATAGGCCATAGTGTGGTGTGCAATATACATAAACAATATATGCCGCTCATATCGCGAATATGAAAGAAAGTCAGTCTTCGGCTTAATTCTATACAATTTCTAAACAATTCCAGTGTATTCGAACGATACATGTATGAAAAAATATGCCTATATTATATGTTTTATTGAGAACTACATTTGCTAATTTGCTAATTTGTACCTAAGAGATTGTTCAATTTTTATTATTCTTTATCAAAATATTTTGACTTTTATGAAAACTTGACTTTCTTTCGTGAGTTTTTTTTTGGTTTTTGTGTATTGTTTAATTTATATTGTTTTAATATAAACTACAATTTGATTTAAATACTATAAAGTCTTATATGATTTATAGTTATTTATACTTTATAAGATGAAAAAATGAATAAATTATTAGTTACACAAAACGAGATAAATAAAATTCAGTTTGAAAATTAAAAAAAAGCAACTTTGCGTTCAAACAATTACATCACAGACACGCTCATGCTTTTAATAATAATAACGCTGAGAGAAGTTCAATAGCTACATTGAAAAATACTAAAAAAGGCGTTAATAACAATTTTTCAATTATTACGCAACGCGATGGGGGAGGGGGCAATGTCGCAAGTTCACGTGGATTCTCGACCACGTGCGGCGGACAACGCTCGGTACGCTTTATGATGTCACGTTTTCTACTTTTGGGAAAATACAGATTTTTGTATAGAAGCGGAAGGATTAGGAAGATTTATTTTATCTAATTTCATGATTCGGCAAGACTACATTTTAATTATTGGTTATTCCTTCTTTGTCTGTTCAAATGAAAATACAGTCTCACACTTTATTAAGCTCGAATTTACATAAATTTATTTACTATTTATACTCACATAATATATATCGTAGATAATGCATTGTTCAAATGGTGAAAACAAAAATTGGAAATCGACAAGGGAACAAATAAATTCAGCATCTTAACATTTACATGTTGCCGCTAGCCTTATTACGATTTAATGATAAATTACACATATAAAAAAAGAATAATAGACGCTTATAAACACACGAGCATAATGTATTAATTAGAATTATGTAATTTATAAAAGATTAATCATTAAAACTTAACTTCAGCATACAATCCATGTCATTTAACGTATATCAATGATATATTATATTATAATTATAATTATATATAATTATAATATATTATAATGAATATAATAGAAAAATAAGATGAATATTATAGAATATAATATATTATAATGATCCACCTTTCATGGCTTGGTATTTTCGTGGCAAATGATATTTAAAATACTCTTAGATATTACAAGCGCTTAAATTTTTATAAGTAAAGCTTAATAAATTTAAAACGTTGAAATAATTTAACGTGTCCGTAGATAAACTCAAAGTGATTCAAAGTGATTTATAATTTAAGAAATTCAAGAAAATCATCGAACAAAAATTTTGAGGTAATGAAACTTTGATTCATTGAAATAATACAAATATTAAAATTACTAAGCCAAAAGTAGACACTTAATTTTCATTTTGTTTACGACGTGACGGAAAGTGCGTTATATTATTTTTATAAATATCCAGAAGATGATATTTGTGACAAATTATATGAATAAGAAACTTATTAAATTATATAGCTGGTATCTTTAATAAACGGAAATATGGATTGTATGGAAAAATCGATTGTAGACATTTATTTAATACAATTTCATTTTCAATCGTCAATTGTAGCCTTTTCGTATTTAAAATCTTGGACTTTACATTATTAATAATTACAATCATAATTAATTTATAAACTTTTATTGCTTATTGAAAAAGCATTTTTCTAATGCTTGCAAATTATAATTTAATATAACGAATACACGAAAAATACCTGTTGAAATATTGTTGAAAAGAACTCAAACGGAGGCTTTTACAACTTTTATCTTTCTCCAATACCTATGAATGTCACGATAACGATACTGTTGGTCGATTTAACCATCTTCGGTATGTCATAAAATCGTAACAATCAATGTTCCATTTTTTTCCCTCGTTTTCTCCTTTTTTCCTCCTTGCTTCCCCATTTCCATTTCCTCTTTCCTCTCTCTCTCTCTCTCTCTCTCTCTCTCTCTCTCTGTCTCTCTCACCGCAATCAGACAAATCGATTGCTCTTTCCTCCCTCTTCCCGGCCCAACTCGAGCACCCGAGGCTTAACGAAAAAATCAAAAAAACTTATTCCCCGAAGGTGAAAAATTCCAGTGGGTGATATCCAGTCCCGTCCAATTCTCTAACACCCGAACAAAACAATAGTAAAAAAAAAAAACAATAGACAGAATAATGAAAATCCCGAACCGCGTCTTCTCGCCCCAAGGTATCGAGGAGGCGTGAGGATGAGGGGCATGGCCGAGACCGTCGTCCTGGCGATGGCGATCGCCGCCCGTCTTCTACAGCCCAGTGCCGCGGGCAGCTGCAGGTCCGCAAAACTCTGCTGCCAAGGCCGGGACTCAGGCTGCGTAATCCAGAAGCCATCGCCCAACGCCATCATCGAGAGTCCACGTGACAAGCCCTGCTATTGCGATCACGCCTGCCTCAAGCTTGGCGACTGCTGCGACGACTTCAACGAGACTTGCACAGGTACTTGCACCCTGGCACTTAGGTTCTCGGGTGGACATTTGGCGGTACGTTAGGGTTTGGAGTTTATGGATACGCGGGGCAGAGGCGATTTGCTTTAGCCGATTTGCTTGAGCGGCCAGGTTGATGATAAAAATAAGACAAATAAGAAAAGAAGAAAGAGCGGATGAAATGACAGATGTAGAAATTGGCAATTAGGTATTGGGTAGAGCGCGACTGCACTAAAAAATTGTAAACACCATATTTTTATTATTAAATAGACAAGTACACTTAATAACGCAAAATTTATGTATGTGAGAGTGGTTCTTACAGGTATTGATAATGAATGGGTAATCGACAGGATAAATTTAATAATAATTATAATTAATATGAGTTAAAAATTCATGAAATTGACTTTTGATTTTCATGACATTAAATTAAAGGTCTCTTTAATCTTATTGAAATATTATTTGATACTTTTAGCGCGGTGCAAGAAACGCTTGATTTTGATTTCTCTATTATATTAGTAGTAATAATAAAATATTAATACTATTGAGAGATACTTATAACGCAAATAGTAATTATAATAAGGAGAGTCGGGCAATAGCCACGACCTCATTCACTCCTTACCGACAAAATATTCTGTCATTGCACTAAATAGTAATTAATTTTTTTTCTTAATTGCCTGCACGGTTCACATATACTCCTCCCAGATGATACGTAATAGAATAAATCATCCAAAAATCAATAATAATGCGTGTACACAAACAGACACAAACACAAAGATACATTATTTATTTTCCCTCTTCAAATAGGGCGATGAAAGCATAATTTCTCTCTAATTTCATGCCGAATGGAAAGTTAAGAAAGTTTTTGGAATGAAAATTTAGAGCTACTTTTTTAATTATTTATATTCAATAAAGTTTAAAATAAATATATTTCAAAATTCAATATGAGCAAGATAAAATTTTATTATAATTTTCTTTAAATATAAATCTGGTTGTATTATGTCTGGGAGCAGGTAATTTTAATAGAAATTTATTTACTTTTAATAACTAACTTTAACTCTAAGCTGATAATTCAAATTTTATTTCATAACTTTACTCTCTAAAGAAAATATATCTCGCTTAAAATAAAATAATCCAATTTCATATTGCGAAAATTGCTTTAAAAAATATATGACAGTTTTTAAAAATTTTACAAAAAATCTTGCCATAGACAGAATTTTGTTCTCATTTTTAAATGAATTTTAACTTTAATTCACATACGCAGTTTAAATCGTACTTATAGGTATACACAAATTTTTACCTCAATTTGTAGCTTTTGGAAATTATTTTTAAAAGAAATAATACCAAATAAATACTTATAATGCCATACATGTGGTGCCAGCGGTGTAAGAGTGAAAAATAAATTTTACATCATTAAGAAGATAAAAAGCGTAAAGAGTCCGATAATTCCAACAGTTTTAATTCTTAATCATTTTTGGAATACGAAGTGGTATTTAGCCCGTCAAAATGTTCGAATTACCACGTCAAAAAAGAAAAGAGACGTACGAAAAAAAAACAATAATAAAAATCCCTATTCATAAATTGCGTACACACTTTTTCTAATACTCTTAAGTCAACATAGAGCACGTAGGCGTATGTGTGCACTAACACAGGCATCTCCTGACATATGACCATACATAGACTAATAGTTCCCATATAATAGAAACGCTCAACTAGTAATGGTCTGCAGTTCGCATGGCACTTTATCATTAAAGTGCTCAGTCGAGTACGTTTATGTGTACACATAAGTAGGTCTATTGTACTCTATCAATCTTTCATGCCTTCAATAGTGTTTTTTTTACACTTTCTTCTGATTTCTCATAGGCATCCCTTCCACCCTCTCCCTCAGCGCCGCAGCTCTTTCACTCTCTCTCTCTCTCTCTCTCTCTCTCTCTTTCTCTCTGTGTCTCACCTTCTGGAATAGTGAAAAATGGAACGAAATTACGTAAAAATAGCTTAAACAAATAGCCATCATCGGCGCTAACAATTTCCGGGATTTACCCTGCGAGACAGAATTCCTCGTCGTGAAATTGGTGAGAAGAACTTATTTATGAGAGCTGGTCATCCTCGTTTTCGTCTTGCGTCAGCGAGTAATCGCGAGGAGCTGCGTGAAATATTCGAGCACCTCGTGAACGTTCGAGTTGTCGATGCTGGACTCCCTTTCTTCCCTGGTGTATCGATAAATCAAATTTTCTTATCGCTTCGTAGGGACGTTCGCTACTTTTTCATACATCTTTATCGAAATTTCACGACAGGCAAGCTCCGATGTAGGAGTATGAAGGTTTATATCGCGAAAATAAACGGATTCTCTCAAAGTCTGCTTTCCAAATTTCTAGAGATTATTCGTTCACTCTACTTGGAGCGGACAATTAGTTCTTTAATTACAAATATTCCATATTTCTATCAATATAACTAATCTAAATATGTACTGTTTTGCATACTATAATAGTAAAGGATTTTCAACCTATTTTGGACGAATGAGAAGAAAATTTGAATTGCAATTTATTAATCAATAACTGTTTTTTCTTCCGTTAACCAGAAATTAATTAATATTACAGACAAAAATGTATGTTGCGTAAATAGAACATACATTAAATAACATTGAAATAATATAATGTAGTATATATATACATAATAAAAATGCTACATTACTGTAAATTACAGAATAGACATTTAGAAGATGAAATAATAGACAGTCTCTTCTATATTCGATTAATCAATAAAAACTATATATATATAGATCCGCTTATTTAATTAAATCTCTATTGCAATCACTTTATTTTATAACAGTCTATTATTGTTATTAGAACTATTTTTATATAGAAATATTTATTATAGAAATATTTAATTTTAATTTTAAGAAAATTGATAGAAGCTAATTTCAGTCATTTGATAAATTTAATAATTATCTCATGAATAAATGGTATCATGTAATAATACAGTAATTTAAGTTCTTACAAATAATACAGTCAACAATATTATAAAAATCCAATAATTAATATAAAAAATTTTAATGTTTTTTCAGACCTACAATACTTGTCAACAACTTTATTATTAGAGCACAGTGGCAAAAATAATTAATAGTAACGTGAACATATTTTGGTAAATATTTAATTTTTAGTATAAAATGATTTTTTAACTGAGTAAATTATGAGGTAAAAAGATTTTTAATAAACATAGGAATATTTTTATAATATAAAATTTTTATGGAAAAGGGTATGACTCATCGTAAAAAATGGTTCAAATTTACAAAATTGTAGACGAGTATATAGTGTATAAAAATTGAATTTTTAAAATCCTTAGAAGAAAGTACCAAATCCAAAGTGTAAGAAAAGTTAAAAAAATTTTCTAATCCAAGGAAGATATTTATTTTCAAAATACAAAGTATTGAGGTAGATAAGTTGCTTTATCTTGTTCTATTCAATATGTATTCTTATTACACTGTTAAATGATATAAAAAATGAAGATTCATATTACATAATATATGATGCTCATTAATATTGTATTCAAACAGTTATCTTTTTTAAACATTCATACGTGAAAAACATAAATGCTAATCTTATGCGCAAAAGATAAATAATGCTAAAATCTCTTTTATTACTTTTCTTATCTACGTATATTAGACTAAATTGTATAGATTAAAAGTTATATATATACAATAATAATATTGTGAAACATTCCTATAAAAAGTAACTAAATAGTTATCTGCAAAAAATACTATGTATTAAATAAGTAAAACAACTTTTAACAAAGATGCATCAACAAGTATACATAATGTGCATGAATTTTTATACGAAATGTATGTAGGAATTTAATATCACATTCTTAACGTTCGGGTTCCCCAAATTTCTACATCTGTTAAAACTTTATGAAATATTATTTAAAGTTAACACGACAGCTTCTCTTTTAAGAAACCATTCTCATTCTAAACTTTATTAAAGATTAAATATATGGACGTATTTTTGTTTAATTACGAGTTCAAATTCTAAAGCTATTAATAATCCCTATGCCATAATAAATAATAAATATAACTGTGATAAATTAATATAATTCATACGTACATTCATAATAGCACTATATCGATAAGAATATTAAAATTAAGTACTTACAAAATTCCGTAGTACGGCGACTATAGATTATAAATAATATAAGGAAAATGAAAATTTTTTATATTTGAATGATTCTGCGATTTGCCGCTAGAATATTTGCCGTGTCAAAGGAGAGAAAAAATGACGGAGCGAACTGTCTTAATAGTCTCCATAGTCTTATGCCATTCGTGATTTATTCTATTAATATTGCATTTAAGCTTAAGATTGCGGAGTTCTATAAAATTTAATCACCAAAAATTCTTTTATTACTTTCCACCCACTTTTAGTTTTACTCTCGCTACGTTTAAAAATAGTTTACCTTTTTCTTACTTTTTTTTCTTTCCATTTCATCCTTGCATATAATCGATATAATTTCAATCAATCGGATAAAAATTAGTCGAGTGAAGTTATAGAAAAAAATAAATCAAACCATTAGAAGAAAGTTCATATCTGGAGTAATATTGCAAGCCTGGATATATCTGTGACTGGAATAATAATATTTTTGTGATCCTAATACTTGTATGCTTTAAGCAAAAAAAAAAGGCAAAAAAAAAATTAATGTACATACAAATTTCTTTCATATTCGACATTATATATAGTCGTCAATGGTTTAGAAACTCGCTATTAATGACATTTAATCTTCATATTTTAAACCATTGCTTGAATTCGCTTGAATAGTATGACAATGTACCATTACTCGCGAATGTTGAAGTAATAATATAGTAAGATGACCTCACCACCGATCTTCTATTCTTTTCTCACGAAGCACGTAAAGTACGGTAGTAATTGAAAACTGTAGCTTTTATTCTCGTATGCTAAATGCTCCATACATTTCAAGCTGAAAGGACGTTGTAGGAGTTTGGCAAAGCATTTGGCAACTCTTACGAGA